AGCAAGTTCGCCTCCGCACCACTTCCCCCAACCACGCTGCCGCTGGAGTTCGTCGCGGAGTCCGCGGTGGCCGTATTGGCCGACCGGACCACTGGGTTTCCCAAGAGCCTCAACTGCTTATCAGAGCTTGATAGCCGAACAAAACTGCCGTGCCGAGATAAAGCGCCAACAGACACGGTCCGCCCCGCCGCGCCGCGCCCGGCTCCATGACACGTTCTTGCCGATGTCACACAACGTTCCCAGAACCATGTTAGGTCTGGCTGCAGCTGGGCGGGGTGGAGCGGGGGTGGGTGGGGGAGAGAGTCAAGTTGTGCAGCTCGCGGTCGCAGCGGAAGTTCTTGGTCGTCTGCAGTCTGGAGGCCGACGATGTACCGGGTGATTCAGAGCATGCGCCGCGGTGTTGTAGGGATTGCATACCCCAGGGGCTGTGGCGCCTTACGGGCGGACAGAGTAGGCAAACAAACCCGCCGACAGCGGCGCGTGCTCTGAATCACCCGGTACACCCTCGCGGTGCCCGGAAGCTGGAGAGAGGTTATGGGGTCCAGAAACTGGCATAATTGCTTTTAAGTTTGAGAAGCAACTGTCATGAAACCTGTTGTCGCGGTCCTGGCGGAGGCACAACCTCGCACAGGCGTGCAGAAAGCAGGTGAGTGGCGGCGGGTCAGGTCCGGGAGGCAGGAAAGAGGGTGGGGAGCGGGCGGTGTTGATCCGGTCGGACAGCACGCGCACCGGCTACACCAAGGCTCTGCCAATGGCGTAGCTAACCTTGTCAGACTCCACATGAGATTGAGAGGTTTGGGAGGGGCCCTCTCTCGTCACTTCTTATGCACGCGCTATGAAGCAAAAGAACAACTCTGCTACGCGGTGTGGTGGTGTTGTTGTTGACAAACAGGTCGGCGCGGGCAGCCGCAGTCACTGACAGCGGCGAGACGCCCGATGGGGAAGGAGAGGCTATTTCGGCCGGTGTGCAGTGAGCGGTTGGATCACACCCGAGCGCCCTATCCGCTCCGCCCCGCAACGTTACGCCGCCCTACGCGTTACGCAAAGCCAGGCGAGTCGCTGCGGGGCGGGGCGGGGCGGGGTGTTATAAACGCCTGCCCGCGATACTTATTACATAGGGGACTCACCGAGATGCACCGCCTCGTCGTACTTGCGCAGGGCGTCCTGCACCTTGCCGTCGTGAAAGAGCGCGTTGCCTTGGTCCCGGAGCAGGGCTGCCCGCAGCTCCTTCCCCCACCAGCGCTCCACCAGCCGCTGCACCAGAACGTTCGTCACCACCTGCACCCCTGGCGCCGTCCTGGACGCGACACGAGAACAGGCATGAGTGCTGGTTGGTATGAAGAGGGCGGGGATGATAACATTGTAATCAACATGGTAGGCTTACCTGTAAGGGCACTTCGGGCAGGACAGCCTGCCGTCGCGCCCGGTCAGACAGCGCCGGCAGCCGGTGTGCCCGCACGGCAAGGTGACGGGGCACTGGAGCACGCAGTCGCACGCGGGGCACGTCAAGCTGTCCCTAGTGGTCGACCTGGCGAAAACAAAGCAAACGTTACGACCTGACGACACATTACGGCTGATTAAGCGGGCCACTTCCTATAGCAGTCCAAAAGCGACGGCGCTTTGCCTTCGGATCAGCACTGATTTCCGTTATTTCAGCAAATGTCTGGGGCAGACACGACCCTATTATGTCATCGTTGCTGCTGAGGCCGGGCTGCAAGCTTTTTTGAGGCAATGGCAGGTAAACAATCTCCGTCCGTGATGAATCGACCTCCTGGGTGTAGACCCCCCACCCCCCTATTTACGGCCCACACTGTTGCAACGACGCCAGAGCCAAAGAAAGTGGCAATAAAACGACCTGCAGGCGCATACACTAGTTAATGGCTCGAGATACATATTACCCAGCTTGGGGTTTTGCAAAACGTTACAAGTGTGTTGCACAATTCAGGCGAGAGCCAAACGCCCCCCCCTCCCCCACGCTTTTTGCGAGGGAGTTTACGACGGGCAGAATTTGCATAAAACATTTTGTGAGGCAAGCGCGTAAGCTACTTAGTAGCAGTAGCAAAAATTGTATGCTGCAGAATCAGCAGCAATTGTATAGCTAATGAAAGTCACAATGTTGCTGAGTTTTATCCTCTCAAACAAATAAGTGAACGTCAGTACGCGTGACGCGTCGCGCGGACGTTCGCGTATGGCGCCGCAGAGGCAAGGCGCGTCGTGCCGGCGCTTCAGAGTCTCTGCGCTTTACAACCGCGGCGCGGCGTGCGGGGCATAGCGATCAGCCCCCACCACCCGCGGAGGACAGCGACGAGCAACGTTTTTGTCGCAAAGCCACCAACCGCCATTAGGTAGGAATTTTTAAATTCACGATCAAAGCTTTGATCTTGACGACATAGGCACACTGTGAACAAAATTCTGGTTATCCGACCAAACAATTTGGCTGTTGCAACTAAACTGGTGTCCACTCTGGCACCTTAAGTACAACTACAAGGCGTTCTAATGTAGAATCCGATGTTTTTGGGGTGTCCATACCACTCAGCCGTCAAAACGTCGGATGGTTGTGACTCGGAGGCAGACTAAACACAAATTTAGTTACAAAAAACAATGTATTTTTTTTCCTCCGTGCAGGCATATTATGTTAATAGCTGCGTGTTTCGCTGTGCCTTTGGGGCCTTATAGGCTTGTAAGAAAAGTAGAGCATCGTCCTACTGTGTCGCCAACACGGCGCCGTACATAGTTATCAACAGTACAACCGGAATACAACAGTCAGTTGCACGGTGGGGTGTGGCCGAGCATAACACTGCGAAAAAATGGGCAAAAATGAATGTCATCGAACGCGGCGCTGCTCGGCGCTGCTTAGCATGCAGCTCGGCGAGTCTAAGCGGGCGTGACGGCGGCACACGTCCCAGTCGTACAGTCTCTGTTGTGCAGCCCTCTTGGAGGGCGGATGCACGCCGGACACGTCTGTCGGCGACAAAGTTATACTCCTTTCCTTTTTCAAAGCAATTTTTGAAATGCGCTGTAAACCGATTCAACATGGCTGCTAAGAGTGCATGAGCCGACCTCTTTAGTTCCAGTTATTTTGCACGCAACAATTCAGATACATTTACTGCTATCTTCAGTTCCTTTAAAGTTTACAGAGTGTTGAGAAGCAAGCACATACACGTGATGGACATCGTGTTGCTCACTACTTCCAAGCGTCTAGATAACGAATCCTGAGGTTTTCGATCGAGAACGCGCCAGACTCTGGATTTCAGAGGTCGAGGCCGCGGGCACGGCCGGAGCAGGCTGCAGCGGCCCGCGGAGGTGCGGCGGAGGTTATTCACCTGGCCATGACCGCCGCCGCCGCCGCCCGGCCGCCAGCCAGCCAAGCAGGCAGGCAGGCAGGCAGGCAGGCAAGCAGACAGCCCGACTCGCCACTCGCTGCTCTGACAGGGCCCGGTCCTAGAACCAGTGAGCAACACACCTATGGGCTGCCCAAGCGACACCTCAATGCTAGAGCGACGTTAGTCACACTGTAAATTTCCTACGAGGAGCTGCTCTTTCGTAATTTCCAAAGGATTTGGCACCTTCGTAATACAAACAAATCCTTTTTAATACGAACAACTCGGCTTCGTAATACGAAGAGAGCACGTGTCTGTTATGAAAATGGTGCTCATTTTAATACAAAGAAAATCCGTTCGTAACATGGCGGTTCCAGATCCTTAGTACGTTACAAACCCAATTCTTCATAACATGAAGACTGCTCTTCGTAAGGAACTAACAAGGCAAGGTGGCACCGAGTACCTGCAGAAAAAAGGATCGACGCCCCCCCCCCCCGACAAAAACGACCTATATTTAATCATGATACACAAAGAAGTAACTTACTTCCTATGACGCAAAGTTTAAAACAGACTAAATGAGAGAATAAATCATTTTGCCTGGCCAAGTGGCGTGGCACACCTATCATTAAAACAAATAAGAAGCAATACACTCATTAATTCTTGCAAAGCAATGCTTAGCAGACACAAATTGCGAAGAATTTGAATGCTTTGTCGACTACGAAGCAGCATCTCTTTGTCATAACAAAGCGATACCTTGTAATTGCGAAGAAATGCTTTACATGCTGCCCACGATCCTACGCAATTGAAATGTAAATGCTTCGTTGCGTACGAAGAGTGCGCGTGCTTCGTAGGGAATTGACAGCAATATGTTTTAAGACAAGTTCAACTAGCTCGGGCTCGGATGGTCAGCATAAAATCGAATCTGATCGAATACAGTGGCAGTTGGGTTGGGACCTAATTAATGATGTGCTATAATAAGTCAAAAATGTTATGGATCAAAGTTTTTATATCAAAAGAATCGCTTTGAGAGTACGCCCTTTCTTTCAGATTCATTTCGGCGAACTACGGGCGCTCAGAGCCTGCGAGACTCAGGGCAGGCCGCCCCGCAATACACGCATGCAATACAAGCATGATGTTGCCTACCTGTGAGGCGCTCTGAGAGCTTGGATTGCCTGAACTTCGCATACGGACGGAGAATGACGGACGTACTTTCGGGGAGATCCCACAGAGTGTCCTGAGCTGGAAGCACGTATACGAGTGTTTCAACACCTTGACCTTGCCTACTCCGATGGCTGCTGAGGCACGTCACGATGAATGAGCATGAACATTCCGTTCTGAGATAACTTTCAAGTAGTAAAAATGACCACTTCTGGGCTGGTTGAATACATGCTGAATGTTTACAGTGTGCAGACGTTCCCCGCGGATTGATGCTTCGACCTCCAATTTTCCGTCCGACGCATTGGGTGAGACCCCCCCCCCCCCCCACACACACACACATACATACGCACAGCGACTTGCGTAATGCCCTGCGGCTCCCGGCACGCATCGGTGATCCCATCATCAAAGCAAGTGACACGGACCCCAGCATAATACGACAGTAAACTGAGTGACGGACGACTTGCTATTCAAATCTCGGCGCGCTGGCGCGGCTGCGGCTTCTGGGGCGAGAGAGGGGCTTAAAGGTGCCTGGTCCGCCGAGGATCCCGATCGGTCCCGATGTCCGGACTGGACGCTCACCCAGAAAACGGTTCCGTTGAGTCAATGGAAAGAAAATATGATACAATTCTCGACTTCAACCAATGGAATTTCATTGATTCGAGGTAAAAATTCCCGTAGGGTAATGAAAAAGCGCTTAAAGTTGCGGAAACATTCTATCAAATTTCAATTGGTTTAATTTCGACTGATCTAAGAAATTTTCGGTTACTTCAATGGAACCATTTTCTATGTGTGAACGCCGATGACATGCGCACTCTCAGCTGCCACCACCCTGAACCCGGGGTCGCGTATGACAATTCTACACACAAACTGTTTTGTGCTCAGTTTGTTACGCTCAGTCTACTCCTGCGTCCATGCTGTTCTTAAGTGCAATTTTTGTTTATAATTATTGACACATCTGTTTAACTGCAGCCACGCGTTAGAGGGCAGCTTAAGCAAAATGAAGTACCATCAAAAGTGTTGGGCCAGCTGTATGACTGGCCAAATCTTTCGAATGAGTGCACACAAAAAATTAAGACTATAATCTGTATCTAAAACCTTCTAAACGGTAAAGTCGGGTAAGGTTTTTGACTCGACTACGAGCGATGGAAAGATATAAAACCTCACGTTATATTCGTGACAATTGGACAATTGTGTACTTAATACAATTTATCCAAATTTATAAATTGAATAAGTCTAGGATATGCACAAAAATTCCTTTTTTGGTACACAATCGTCCCTTTATATTTAGAAGTGGCTACAGCCCCACCTACGAAAAGAAGAGACGTCACTTTTACTTCCAGTCTTGGGTCAACTACGCGGCGCTTTACGTATATTAGAGCCTCCTTTCCTGTCATAAAAAGACATAGACAGAGGTAAACCCGCACATAAAAACATCCGTCCATGAAAAGTTTTCCCAGCTAACGTGCGACGGTTGGGCGCCAGTCGGGCCGGCCGCACAGTGGCCACTCGCGCACAGAGTCATTCAAATCGGAATTAATGAAGGCCGCCTTGTGGCTTTGTCTCTCCAGTTTCACACACGCTCGCTACAACGTATCCGATGTCGGACCTCTGCAGAGCGGAAAACCGCTCACACTGACTTTTTGTACGTCAATAAGGGCTTACGACTGCTTACTAAATGCGAGCTAAATACTATCCAACAACAGCAAAGGCGAGCGCCAAAGCACGAGGGTGGGAGAGCTCATATGTCTGGAACTGAATGTAGCACATTGCGTCTATAGTTATCAGTTAATGGCACTGGACTGATTTCGGGACTCTAACGTGATGCTGTCACATCATGCCTTCTAAATTTAATCATCGAAGTTTAAAGACAAAACAGGAAACCCTGAATGAATATGTCGCCCAGTTGTAGATCTGTGAACGCCATTCGTGTACATATGGCTGAATTGAAAGGAAAATTCACACCTTAACTCACCCCCTTAATAGTAGGAATGGGCATTCACACACTTAAAAGCGTACGACATTCACACACTTGCGTTTTCAGCGAATCGGTACATAACGTGCCCTAATGAAATGATCGCACTGTGAAAAATAGTAGGTAGATTTACAGGTAAATTTTTCCTTGACGCAAGTTGTAAAATTACAATTTGAAATCATAAACATACATGCAGTACGTATCGACTTAAAATCCATTGGCGAGTAAAAAATCTGTTTTCGTAAATTTACAACTTAAATTATAATTCGAGTTCACAAAATTTTTGTAAGTTTACGACGATATTTTTCACAGTGATATTTTCCACACTTGACTCTCGCGTGATTTTATTCGTCTCGAAAAACCGAACGAACATTCCAGAAGCAGAAGCAGCAGAGAGCAACAGCCAGCCACCCCAACCCGGCACACAAGGCCCGGCCGGCCGGCCAGGCGACTCGCCGCCGAGCCGCTCCAGGCCCCGCCGCGCCACGCCGCGCCACGCCCTCCAGCGCGAACATTAACCTTGACCGTGCCGCGATGGAGCAAGGTGGAGCCGAGCCCTCCCCCTCCCCTCCCCACCGCGGCGGCTCGGGGAGAATATCGCCGGCGGGGCGCACGACGGACGGACGTGGCGAGGAGGTTTCCGTCAACGAATATAAAGACGAAAATATACACTCAATTTCTACGCGGAAGCAATGATATGACGAAAAACGCGTGGCCAGCCTGAAGACCATGGTAGAGACGTTGTAGGCGATGTACGAAAAGTAGCCGGTACAGGCAATTCCAGGTCGCACAAATTGCACAAAAATCAGACTTTGTTATATTTTTTAATGAGCTGTAATATCACAGTAGCAGTAAAACTGAGCGTGTCTATCGATAACGTCAAGATTTGTTTTCATTTGAAAGTTAGGTAAAACAAAATGGCATTTCCACTAGGCGCAAGAAAGAAGGGTATCGGCGGATGCGCCGAGAGACTGCACGTACATTCATGTAGCAATTTGTAACGAATGTCACCGCCATACAACGGTTTCATCGCTTGTGGTTTTTGGTGGCATCAAGTATACCCTCTCTGGCAATGCCCGAAAACCAAAGTATTAAAGTTAAACCACATGTGAGATGTGGGTGTCAATATTTAGAACGTTAAATGCAATCACTCACTGTAAAAATTCTACAAAGAAATGGCTTTATATAAAATCTAATTTTCTTTGAAAGCAGCAAAGAAATTTTAAGCATTTTATTACGAAGAACCGGCTTCATAGCTTCACAATGCACTGCTTCGTAATACAAAACATGTTTTTTGCAAGACAAAGCCTAATGAGCTTCCTAATACACAGCAATCGAACTCTTTGGAGGTTTACAAAGCATTTTCTTTGTAAGATTCCTTCAGTGTTGTTTTAGATGACAGCGCGCATTTATATTATTTTCACTTCCGTTCAAAAATTTGGCAGAGCGTATTAAATTTGGAGGACAGGGTGAGCATCCGCGCGAGAGAACCAAGCGTCATGCGTCAATCAGACAGACGTCAGCAACATTTGGGTCCGAGGTAATCGAGGTAATCAAGCGTCAATGAGTAGATTGGTTGGGAGGTGTTTTACTCAGAGGTGGGCCCCGCCCCGCCCCGTCTCGCCGCGCCCGCCATGTCTCTTCCGACTGACTTGACTACACAACTTGACCTCCACCAGACCAGCAGCATTGGGCATTATGTCTACGGCCCTACCGGCACGGCCGTGGGCCGAGCTGAGCGGACTTCTTGACCTTCGCCTAACAAAGGCTGGCCACCAGCCGGGCCCCCGTCACACACGGCCCGAACGAAGAAGGTAAGGTATCGGGGTGTGGGCGACGAGGAGCTGGTCGCGTCTCCTCGCAGACTATGAGAAATATGTCAGGAAAACGTTTCCCTCCGACGCGACGAATGTAAAACCAGCTAACGAGTGTTGTCGTGCGCAGAGTTCGAACGGCTCCGCCGCGCCGGATCGCCTCGGCCCGACACCCGGGCGCACCAGTATTTACTTTCCGTTCTAAATTTGGACGGGGCGTCGAACGTGGCGGCGGCGGCGCGCGGCGCGGCCGGCGATGCAGCCGGCTGCATGGTTATGCGCGTGAAGGCGTCGCGGGCCATCGGGCTGCGAGGGCCGCCAGGGGGGAGGGGGGGGGGAGGCGACACGAAAACTAAGAGATGCGAGCGGCTCGACTCGGCGGCGTTGGAACTGGTTAGTACAGTACGACGTGATAGCGGTCGTTGGCTCGGTGCGCGGCGCACGCACCCTCTTCACAAAACTTTTGCTGGCGCAGCAGCGAGTAGAAGAGGTGGTAATGCGGCGACGCGCCCATGACCACGGCCGACCCTCGGGTTGACGAAGTGCCGCGACCGCGTGCCCGACCGATTAGCACTCCAGTGCCAGAGAGCACGCACAACGCCAGTGACGCGCTGACAGGCAGGTGCCGCTGCCGGTGGGAGGATCAGGACGCGGCCCCATGACCTGCCCCAAGCCCTCCTGTCTGTCTGTTCGGCTCGCCTTGACACTGACCTGTAGTCGTGGCCTTCGCCGGCGGGGGCGCCCGCCACCCCCACCTGCTCCAGGAGCGCGCCGGCGAGCGTCCTCAGGCGGTCGGCGGCCAGCGCGGGCCGGGGGGCGTGCGGGTGGGCGCCGGGCGCGGCGATGCCCGCGGCCAGCCCCGCGGCCAGGCGGGTGGCGCGGTCGAAGGCGTGCAGGCTCTCGCCGACGCGGCCCAGCTTGGCCAGGGCGTCCGCGTAGCGCAGCAGCAGGTCGAGGTCCGGCGGTGTCACCCCCCGGGACGGTGACGGCGAGGAGCTTGTGCCGACGGCCATCCTCTCCATGGACTCCATCACATCACTACATCACACTGACACCACACACACAAACACAGGCACTGGCACTGTAATCCAACGCAGGCAGGAGGGACACAACACAGAAACACACTCGCGCGCGCGCTTTCGTTCGCACGCCGGCAGCGACGTCAGTCGGCGCCACGGTACGCCCATGCACAGCGCTCGGCCCAAACGGCCGTGCGCGTCAGCGGATCAACGCCAACTGCCTGAGCCTGCCGAGCAGAGCGGGCCGGGTGGGCAGGGCGGCGCGGTGGGGCGCGGCGGGGCGCGGCGAGGCGGGGGGAGGCGGTGTGCGGCGGGGCAGAGCCAGAGGGCCGAGCGAGCAGCCGCCAGGCCCGGGCCGGTCCCAGAGAGGGGGCACCAGCGGCACCGCGGCCACCACCAGCGTGCGAGCGAGATGGGCCGACGGCAGACAGAGATGGGGCGGGGCGCGGGGCGGGGTAGGGCCGGGGTGCCGCGCACGCTTATATAACGGTCACGTTATGTCGCTCTCCGCCCTGCCCTGCGATGTCACTGCTCACAACAAACACTGTGTGTGAGCTGCCCCGCCCCGCCGCGCCGCAACGGGTAGTGTGGGTGGTGGAGTGCTGTATCTAGTTAAGCCACGCTCAGCGGTCACTCCACGCAGAGTGTACGCACCATACCATACTGTACCCACTGGGAAAGGGAGCGGTCTCAGAATTGGACGAAATTTCGTTCAAATGTTCTACAATTTCACCTGTGGGTTGAACTTTTCATGCCCTTTTACTGTAATTTCGAAGTATGGTCGAGACGTTCAGAAGAATTTTTGCACTTTACGATTCAACAAGAAAAGAAAAGAATTCGTAATCAAGAGAAAATATTCAGGAGACAGAACTACTAGTCATTTGGTTCATTGAAAATTTCGAATGGTTTGAAACTGGCGAAAAAAAGGTTCACATGATTGTGTCTAGACAATCATTGTTCCTGTGATTGTTTCGGTTGTGCTAAATTGTGTCGATTGTGTGAACCTAGGTTGTGACTTAGTTGTGTCATATGAGAAAGTTTGATTGTGTCCAATTTTGTGTGATTGTTCTTGATTGTGTGTGGTTGTTTACGGTTTGTGTAATTGTCTCCGATTAAGTCATGATTGTTTCTGAATGTTTTTGACGATGTACACGTATTGTGTCCAGTCCCAAAATTTTGTAATGTGTTAACTAGAGCAACATGACCACTGCAAGCAAGTGCTTGAGCAGTATAGCACCGCGTCGTAACCAAGAGGTGTGAAACTGGACACAATATGTGTCTATCGGGAAAAACATTCAGAAACAATCATGACACAATCATACACTACCGAAAACAATCACACAAATCAAAAACAATCACACGCAATCACGACACAACCACGACATAATCACACACATTCACAACACAATCATGTCTCAATCTAACACAATTTTGCAAAATATATCACAATTGAGAAGACTACCGAAAATGTGTCAAATCAGCAAGTTTGTCTCGAGACAATAACACACAATCACACACAATTACGACTCAATCATGACACAATCAAGTCACAAATTTTCAGAATATGTCCCAATACCTATCCACCTGCAAACAATCAGAGAATCACTCACGATCGAAACAATCACACTAAATGACTGCGTAGACACATTTTTACGAGGGGGACACCACATCGATTGAGGATGTACACAGGATTACGTGATTATAGGGATTACACGTGAATTTTGAGTGATTACACGTGAATTTGGTTGAATTTCAGGCTGTAAAACCATCAAATTTGGACAAAAAGGTAAGTTTAGTGATAATGTTTTAAAATTTGGTCAAGGATTACACGGAATAGATAAGGATGACGTAGGGATTACACCCTCGTATGTACACAGGATTACGCGAGTGGTGGCCCCCTCGCATTTTTATCTACACTATTTGGTCCACTTGACAGTTCCACACCACTCGCTTCGAATTAGCTGGAGTTGACTTGCATTAGTTTAAACTGGTCTGAATTAGTTCGAATTACGTGGAATTCGTTTGTTTCAATTTCAATTCAATTTTTGTGAATTTGTTTCTAAATGTACGCGAATTGTTTTAAACGCGAATTTAACTGGTTTAAATTGGTCTGAAGTCTCAGTTTGTTTGGATTGAACTGGTTTTGTTGAGTTGAATTTTAAATTTGTGGTGTACTTGTTTGAATTGAACTGATTTCGTTGAGTTGAATTTTACATTAGTGGTGTACACACAAATTCAGAGTGATTTGGCGCTTGAGACAGATACAGCATTCACAAGGGAAAGAAGCAGCGAAGGGAAGCTGACCAGAGACCATTTCTCAAAAAAAAAGCAAAATACTACTTCTCTTGAAAGCCAGGAGTTAACATCAACGCATTTATCTCATACGTTCCAACAGGTATTCCTATCCTATTGTACGCGGGAGGATGTATGTACACGGACATACGCACTAAGCTTTTAGCGTAGGGCTACACACGTGCCTGTTGACCATGTACACACTATTGTGTAGATGGCCATTTGCACCTTTGTGTAAAGCTAAGTAAGGGAGTTACACATTTACTCCTCCTGTATTATTAGCATGTAGAAACATGTTCGGTAGGTGACGCATACATAATACCCTTCGGTTTCCAGAGTTGAAAACTCATGGTTTTTAATGCCAACTCTTGTGAAATGAGCAAAAGAGCAAGTCGATCCGTAACAGTAACGTTCGTCATAGTACCCGACCAGTTTGAACCTGGAGTGCTTCGGCGCCCTCCCCTCCCACCACGGCGCCCGGCCGGCGTCCGGCGTCCAGGCTGCGGCGCGGCGATGCAGGAGCAACGCAGGAGCAACGCAGGAGCAACGCAGGAGCAACGCACCCCACCCACCTGCGGAGGAGCGACTCTTGCACAGTTGCACGTCCGCGTCGTCCTGGCGGGGGGCGGGTACCCCTTCTGGGGCGCGGCCGGCAGCTCGGGGGATGTTGCGTCACCCCGGCAGGCGGTGGCGCAGCGCGCGGGTTCGACTTTACACCCAAATCAGAACAAATAATTCCGCGTTATCTCCAAACAACAGAGACTAATAACGCACACAGGAGATACATAAGAATCGCGGCGCGCAGCCTGCACGACCGTGCACGACGCCGAGGAGGTGGGAGACCCCGCTGACCCGCTGATGGCGACTGCTCGCTACCCTTCCTACCGATGCTCGGTGTCTAAGAGCCAGCTCGGTTGCCAAACAGCAGGCTGTTTGAGCGCTTCAGGCTGCAGGTCCAACAGTGACTCGAACACGCGTTGTCTGCAAAAGCCCGACTAGAGGTTCTTGTCTATGAGGCGGTAGACAACATGTTGTCTTCCAGTTTCCAGAAAATTTTCGACCAGCCCAGAAGTTTGCTGCCCAGAAAGGGCGCGACAACAGACTTCATGAAGAGAGTGCACTCTCATTTCCTAAGGGATATGTTCTCTACGCGTATGTTACGGGGACGTTTGTGAACATACGACCTATACCTTACGAATGGAGGCATGTTTCTAATATGGATCAAATTATCAAAAATAATACAGACAATTTTATCCTCATTGCAGATGATTTGTGATCCATATATTTACACAAAATTTTCCAGAAGCGATTCCGTGAGGAAAAGAGTGTTGTGCCCATGCAATGTGTACAAATATATATTCAACTCAAAATAAATGAAGCTAATGCAATGTAGTTGAAACGGCGGTTCAAATTGATGCAAGGTAGCTGAAACTGATTTGCTGTGATTGAAACTAATTCAATGTAATTGAAATTAGTCCAATGTAACTGAAACTAGTTCAAATTCAGATTGATTCTGACCAAGCGAGACGAAAAACTTTAACTACTTCTTGGCGGTCCAATAAGAAGAGATGCTCGGCCCCAGGTCGAGCGATACGGAGATGCTCACTGGAGTACTCCGGTAGGCACGGTAAAAACGAGTCCTGGGATTTCCAGGAGAGTTGGAACCCCAGTGGATGCCCTGGAAACAAGCAATTACTCCCACGAGATTTACTGGAAACCCTGAAAATCCTTTGGGAAAACTGCACGTTTGCAGGGCAACCCGTGGGACTCTTCCAATTCCCCTATGGAATATGAAGAAAACTCATGGGAATCTCATAAGGCTAGTTTTTCCCATGCGCTCCATACCACAGGTGTTTGCTGCTGCTCAAGGGTTGCCCAGCTCAGTAAAACCTCGGGCCACGGGTTGCAGCCGCAGGAGCAGTTCTAGCCCTGCTTGCACCGGTTGGCGCCGCTGGTCACATAAGCAGTCGCATAAGCTATTGGGATTGGGCCTTGCCCGCAGAAGCCCTCCCCTGGCCCGCCTAACGGTCCCCAGGTTACACACTTCTATTTCTGCCCAATGCTTTTGTCCACTTTGAGTTACAACCGATCCCCCCGTCCCGTACCGACCCCTCTCCTTCAAAGGCTCGTCGAGAGACAATGCGCGTTTCGAATTACAATGGTCGACGCTTATTGTCGCTTCGAGGAGGCGCGCCACCCTCTGCTGTCGATCGCGTTTCGTAAGGGCGGAAAAAAGGAGGGTTATTTCCATTCCACCCCTTGCGCTTCCTTTCCCGCCTGCTGCCGCCATGGCCGACCCCTGCGGACCCTGTGATTTAAGGATTTGCTTTATGTAACAGGCTGGTGACGTGATTGGCGCAGGAGAAGAAGAAGAAAAAACTTAACAGGGACTCTGGCTCCAGCCCTTAATGCTGGCGAACTTGTTCTAAATTTTTTTTTACTCGTCTGTCGTTAAGAGGACGTAACTAACTTTGGTGGGCGCCGCGCGTCGCTACCTCGCCGTCTTGTTAGCACAAGCCAAGCCAGGCTACCCGTGGCGGTGGTAAACAATATTTGAGATGTTTTCGTTGCGCAACCATTTCACATTGAGGAGAATCCCCAAAGCAACACCTGCTATGCCTTTGTGAGTATTGGACGGACATATCGCAGAGCCGTAAAGAAGTTCGGTAAACCGTGCGAGTAAACCTGGTTGGAAACAGTGTTTGGTGAGACGGACACCGAGGGCGACCTGTGTGAGGCGAGGAGTGCATCTCCATTGAATGGGTTCCGGTCGGGGCCGCGGCCGGGCAGGCCGTTGCACCCATAGGGCCTTTGCAGCAGGGCGACGCAGGGCGAGGCAGGGCGATGCACCGCCCTTCGAGTTGCATAAGGCCCCCGCGGCCGAGGCCGGCCGAGGCCCACCGGCCGGCACAGCCAATAAGGGACAGCAGCGAGCCCCAAGGA